CTGTTCATTGATTTACTTTTTGGTAACATTTCGTTATTAAAAGCTGTTTTGGAAAAAAAGTATGACTTTGTCTCCACGCAAAGAAACTTCTATATATATATATCCTATCTCTTACATCATTCATTTCTTCATTATCCAACACATCTTCTTAGAATCCAAGGAATATATTATGCATTGTGATACTGGCTAGGGCTTTGATACTTAGTAAAAAGAGACGCAAGTCCTGCTTAAAAGCCATTGAAAGACTCCCAGAAGAAAGCAAAGTACAGCACAGTATTATAAAAGATAATATACCAGAAACACAGGCTGCTATGAAATCACATGGGGGGAGACACAACAGAGACCTGGGGGTCAGGAATCACCTTTTCAGACATCAATAGAAATTTTATTTGTATCCACTTGAGTCCAAACTTTGCAAAGAGCTCCTGAATTACCCTCTAGGCAAAGTAGTTAATATTCATCATGTCTCACCAGGTGGACCTTAGGCTTCACTGAAATTTTAACGTCTATTTAGTACCTGCATATGGCTACCATGTTGGCAAATGGAGTTATCACTGGTGAATTAAAAGCATTGAAAATATTTAGCTAAATAGTCATCATTAGCTAGAGGTGGTGAGTGGAGAAACAACTCTGGGACTGAGCAGTCCTGAGAACTAAAGGTTTTGTGTTTTTACTGTCATCTTTGAGATGTTGATCCTGTGAGGCCTGTAATAACATGTCCACAAACTTTGAAGAAAAAACATTATATATCTTGTGCTGGAAGTGGGTAGCAGGAACTGAGGAAGGTCGGATTAGAGAAGCTAAGACAAGGATTTTACCCCAGAGCAGACAGATAGAGCCTTCTCCGAGGGATGGTGCCCTGAATTCAGACTTCTAGTCTCCTAAATTGTGAGAACATATATTTCTGTTCCTTAAATTCACCCACTTGTGGTATTTTTGTTACAACAGCACAAGGAAACTAAGACAAGGAGTAAGTGCCCATCACCGTGACTTATCATCTATGTAGACCAAAAAGCAGGCTGCATTCACAACCCCAAGGGAAAGGAACAGATTGTGAGTGAGGTTGGCAGCAAACAAAGAAGCAAAATTGTTGATTGCTAGTTATAGAAATGTAGGTGTTGCTTCGCATTTCTGGTCCTAGACTTCAGGAATGTGTCAGTTTAGTTTAAAAGTAAAGGCTGATAATGAAGAAACATGATTCCCTGCAAGCACCACTTAATTATCTCAAAAACTGAAGAAGACAACAAAGTCTTGGAGCCTCCTTTCCACAGTGTTTCTATTTCTCCATCTCTGATGTCTTTATATATGGGTGATTGTTGGTGTGTGATTTCCTCTATGGCTACTGTGTGAAAGCATGTCCCTAACTCTAAGTCCTCGTAATTCTTTCTCTGTCGGGTAGAAGGATAGGTGGTTGCTGTTGTTCTTAGTTGCCATAGAGTTGATTCTGACTCACGTCGACTCCATGAGTATAACTGTTCCGTAGGGTTTTCTTGGCTGTAATCTTTACAGAAACAGATCACCAGGCCTACCTTTTACGATAATGCAGGTTGGATTTGAACCATCAACCTTTAGGTTATCAGTTGAGGGCAAATTGTTTGCACTATCTAGGAACCTCAAAGAGAAGGCTGCGTTCTCCCAAATACATCATGAGAGTCTGCCATCAAGGTACTCATCTGGAAGGAAGTTGACATATTTATGACTTTTAAGTCACTCAGTCTTTGGTATCTGGGAATCCTGTCATCAAAGTCCCCTTAATCCGTCATTAATAAAAATGTCACAATATCTCAGGATAGTAAGGCACAAAACCTTGAAGACTCATACATCCATTCTTGGGACAACAATCTCATTTAGACTAGTCATGTTTTCAGAGAGAAATCCATTTTCTGAACTCTGGCCTATCCCTAAAACAAACCACACATCCTACTCCAGGTTTACCAATGCCACAATGAGCAGCACAGCCTTATAAAGAATGTTTCCAACAAACTCTATCAAGTCTCATCCCAAATTATAGCCAGAGACCTATCTTTAACCCAAGCTCAACTGAATTTCAAAACTGGCCTCTAATGATGTTTGTGGTGCAGTGGTTAAGCTTGGCTGCTAACCAAAAGGTCGACAGTTTGAATTCACCAGCCAGCTGCTCCTTGGAAACCCTATGGGGCAGTTCTACTTTGTCCTACAGGGTCGCTAAGAGTCGGATCCTAATTGATGGCACGTAACAACAATGATGTTTGTGGGTGCCAAGTGGGAGTAAGTGAAAGACTTTGGCTGATGCTTTGGCAAATGTTCCATCAGGATTAATTACTAATCCTCTGATGACTGAGAGGTCAGTGCATTGCCATGTCCTACACTGTGTGACAGTCTATTTAAACATCTATCTAGAGTCAATGAAGAAAGAATTATGAAGAAGGGACTGTGAAGGAATGACAGCAACGAGCAAAGTAGAAACAAGTCCAGGATTTGTTTGGTAGACATAGCTCCCAAGCTTAGTGGGTTTCCAGAGAAACAGAGCTCAAAAGAAGGTTTCAAACGGGAATAAAAAAATTCTTTTCATACTGCTTATGGACTTCTTGGAGACCAAAAACTTGATATTGTTGATTTGAGAAATCGATGTCCAATCAAGTGGACTTGATTTACTTATATATTTTATAGATCCATATACTAGCTTTTCCTGATTTGAAAACCTTTGCGTTATTCTCAAGGTTTTTAATTTGAATTGAATATTATTCTAAGAGATCTGAAATACATATACACATATTGAAGATTTTCTTATATTTCCATGAGAAGCCAAGAAAGTGATTAGAAATTAAATTCTGTAGTTATAGAAGATCTCCAACTAAAATAGATCATTTTCTCAGTGAATCCAGATTGGTAACAGGAACCAAAAATTAACTAAAATATCCACAATGTGGAAAGCTATCTAAAGAGATAAGAATTACATTGTCTCACTTGTTAGATTTTAATTTCTTATACTTTCATGAGAAGCCAAGAAAGTGAGTAGAAATTAAATCCTGCAGTTACAGAAGATTTCTAACTAAAATAGCTCATTTTCTCAGTGAATCCAGATTGGTAACAGGAACCAAAAATAAACTAAAATGTCCACAATGTGGAGAGCTATCTAAAGAGATAAGAATTACATTGTCTCACTTGTTAGGTTTTAATCTGGAATTTGTTTCTGGAAGTGCTTTCATTTCAAGCTCATGGAGTCTGTTTGTGGCTGGGTTGCAAATGCCCAGAAAAGAAGATATCAATGAATGGGCTCAATCTAAAAACTGAGGAATCAGCAATCAACTAGACCCAGGTCAGTGATAATTAAATCTTTTTTTCCCAAAATTTCAAGTAGATTAACTTAATTTAACCAAGTTATTTCCACTGGAATAGTTTTTGTAGTTATATTCTGTGGCTTGTAAGTTAGTATTTTTCTCTGAAAATGAATTTGGACACAGTGACATGAAATTATTTTCTGATGACATCTATGCATCTGATTAGAGATTTACATGAATAATGACAGCATTCACAGTCACCACTCTGTTCCCTGACTCTAGCAGATATTTAGTCCATACTAAACTCTAAAAATGGATTTATTGAAGAAATGAACAAGTGAACAAATGATTGGTCTCGATAGAAAAGCTGCACCCCAAATATCAGTAGAAACCCTGCCTGTAATGTTGCCAGTCCAGACTCTGTTAGAATGATTGAAGTCACTTTTGCAACACTGTGGTCAACATTTTTGTCTCACCAAGTAGACTGATTAACCACATAGTCACAAGAGCCATGGATACAAGAAGGCAACTCAGAGGCTGAGCTCTCCTGAAAACTGAAGATTTTTCCCTCACCTTTACTAAAGCTGAGAGGCCCATGACACCAAATTTTGTGACCATAAATTTTTAAGGAAAAATATATTACTTTGTTTTTGCAGGAGTTGGGAAGGAAGGAATAAAAAGAATGGAATATCTTATGACCCTTCGTAACAATAACATGTACTCACTCTTGAAATTCATGTACAGATTAAAACAGAATATATTCTTGTATATGTACAATATTTCCACCAGTTAACAACGAAGCTTCAAGTTCCTTTTAGTTGATTAAATTTGTGTCTAAAGGAAAAATGATATTATCCTAGATGGACCTAATGTTTCTGTCTTGTCAATAGGAAACTGCATGATTCATTTAATTCCCTCTGTAAATTGCAAGTAGGGAGATATATATAATCCAGAGCATGATTCTGTATGTGGTGGAAAAAACCATTGCATGAAAAATTCATTTCAGAAATATTGTGAACTTTTCAGAGGACTTCACAACACTTACATGTCCATATCCAAAGATGAATTGCCGGAAAGACTGAGAGTGAATAAAGGGTCACGCTGAGCCAGATAGAAGAGGCAGAGCTATTGCATGGATGCCACTCAATGGGCTGTTAGAAAGATCGTTCCTGGGCATTTTGAAAGAAAAAAATCTCCATCTGCAGCTCTGTCTGTATCTGTACGTGCATTCATTTGACAGGAAGGAATAAAAGATTACAGAACACAGCTGACAGAGATATAGCAAGTTTTGGCAAGTTCATATCTGATACACAGTTGACTTTTCAAAGAATGTTGTGTTCATTACTTATAAATATTCATGCCAAAAGACAAGTATAACTCCAAAAATAATTCTTACTGATGAAATTTGTCCCCAAAAGTGAAAGAAAGCAAACCTTACAATCTCCAAGACTGTTAGAGACAGGAAGTTTGGAAGGCAACCGTAAATCATCGTCACAAGAACACTTTGAGATTTTTGTAAGGTATTGTTACTATCTGATGAATATAAATTAGGAGAAATTTAACCTTCTGTTTTTCATTATGACTATCTGCAAAATGGCAGAGGTGAGGGGATTGTAGCTCCATCAATCCCAGAGACCAGGACTAAAGAGATGATGGAATATTTTGCTATTGGGTTAAAAATATCATCACTCAGAAATACTGTGATTTTTTCAGATGGGACACATGCCCTCAACCCAGGCTGCCTTAGTAAAACAGATGAAAAATATAACTGAATTCATCTTGCTGGGCCTGACTCAGAATCCAGAACTACAGAAGCTCTTATTCCCTGTGGTTTTAATCACCTACTTGATGACATTGGCAGGTAATCTGCTCATCTCAGTCACTGTCTTCATCAGCCCAGCTCTGGGCTCTCCCATGTACTTTTTTCTGTCCTGTTTGTCCATTATAGATGGTTTCTACTCTTCCTCCATAGTTTCCAAAATGATCTTTGATTTGATCTCTGAGAAAAACACCATATCCTTCAATGGCTGCATGACTCAGCTCTTTGCTGAACATTTTTTTGCTGCAGCTGAGATCATCTTGTTAACTGCAATGGCCTATGACCGCTACGTGGCCATCTGCAAGCCCTTACACTACAAGAGCATCATGAGCAGGCCTCTACATAGTTTCCTGATGGGGATGGCTGGGCTCTTGGGGTTTATTCATGGAGGGATCCAGCTTTTGTTCATAGTCCAGTTACCATTTTGTGGCCCTAATGTCATTGACCATTTTATGTGTGATTTAATACCTCTCCTAGAGCTGGCCTGCACAGACACGCACACTTTGGGGCCCCTGATTGCTGCCAATAGTGGCTCACTCTGTTTGCTCACTTTTTCTATGCTGGTTGCATCCTATGTCATCATCCTGCACTCCCTGAGGTCTTACAGCTCTGAAGGGCGCCGCAAAGCCCTCTCTACATGTGCTTCTCATGTCACTGTTGTCATCTTATTCTTTGTACCTTGTTCATTCCTGTACCTAAGACCCATGACCTCCTTCCCGGCTGACAAAGCTGTGACTGTATTTTGCACCCTAGTAACTCCTACGTTGAACCCTTTAATCTACACTCTGAGAAATGCAGAAATGAAAAATGTCATGAAGAAGCTCTGGGGTCAAATAATGAAAACCAGTGATAAATAAATCTTGTGACTGAAGTATTTAGATAAATGATTCTTGATTAAACTTGGGACGTTCACCATCCTGTTTAGATCAATTTGCTTTAGGAGCCCACATGCTGTGGGCAGGGCTAACTTTTCCATTAGGCACAGTAGGAAGAGTGCCTAGAGCCCAAGATACTTTTAGGACTCTGAGAAATGTTTTAATTTTTTCTAAAATAAGAAGAAAAAGAAGAATACATTCCAACTTGGATTATATTCATGTTTATACTAATGCAGTAGTATGCATCTGCAGTTTTAGTATTTTTTATGGAGGTTAGGGCCTACAAAGACAAAAGACAACAGTGACATGTAGGGTGACAAAAAGTCAGAATTCGGCCTCTCTATGGGTATGAAATACATCAACAACAAGATTCTTGAATAATTTTTATATCCTGTACTGTGGCTAGAGTGGAGTTTTATTTTAAAACAGGAAAAAGAATTATATGAAAGGAGTTTAGAATAGAAGGGAAAGAATCTCCAAGAAGAACTTTCATCAAATTATACATATTCTCCTTTACCTACCTAAATATGAGAGGTATAAATGTTATCCCACCACAGAATAAAATATTTTAGATATTACAGTCCCAAGAAGAGAGTATTTGCATGCAAAGGTACTTTTTTAAAATTACATCTCCACCATTCCCTGTAGTCTACAATTGTCTAGAGAAATTATGGTAAGCAGAATTGGCTAGAGCAATGGAAATATAATCAATAAATTCTATAGAGTTAAGATAGATGCAATATCTGTACATTAAAATCTGATTTTAGACACAGACAAAGGAAAAGGAGACCTGGAAAACAAAACAGCAGTTGTAGGAAATTATCAGTGATGTAAGAATAAGTTTGTGTCATGTATCTGGACAACAATAATCCTGGGTCTGGATTATATAAAAGAACCATACCACGAACATAATGAATTACTGAGAGATTTGGAAATAGTCACATGCTTTGAAGTCAGAGATGAAGAAGTATTGGTCTAATTGGTCTAATTTCTCATCTTATCTCTGGTGGTAATTAGCCTGGAAATGTGAGCACATTACCTCACCTCTCACTACTTGTTTCTTCATCTGTAAAAGGGTAATTATATTATATACTTCCTTAAGTGTGACAAGTTAATGATTTAAATTGAGAAAATGACTCAGATGAAACATAGTTGAAATTGCTCTAACAGTGCAGCCTTCAGAGATGCCCTCCAGGACTTGTGGTAACCTCTGTCTGTTTCTGACAGAGGAGCCCAAGAGCACCGCTACGGTCCCTGGCTAACTGTGACCACGACAAGATCAAATGTCTGTCCCAGTCTCACTTCACTCAAAATATGTCATAAATGTCATCCACTTCTTCGAAAGTCAACATCAGGGTGGGTTATTATGTCAGCCACCACTCTCTGTCAGTTTGTTGTACTATGGTGGCTTGTGTGTTGCTCTGATGCTGGAAGCTATGCCACCAGTATTTCAAACACCAGCTGGGTCACCATGAGGGGCAGGTTTCAGAGAAGTTTCCAAAATAAGCCAAACCAGGAAGAAAGGCCTGGTGATCAGTTTCAGAAAATTAGTCAATGAAAACCCTGTAGATCACAACAAAATATTGTTTGATATAGTTCTGAAAGATGAGTCACTTAGGTTGAAAGTCACTCAAAATACACAGTGGCTGCAACAATGAACTTGAGCATAGCAACGATCATGAGGATGGAACAGGAACGGGCAAATTTTCATTCTGTAGTACATGAGATTGCCATGAATCAGAGCTGACTCAACAGTAATAACAACAATTATCTCCTCAAGGGCTCCTTAAAAAGCCAATGACTAGGCCTCTGAGAACTGAAGGGTGGGCACATCACTAGTTCACTATTCTGGGATAAAAATGGCCTTAAATATCTCTGCAGATAAAAATGAGGACCCTGGAGGGAAGGACTATGAGATGCTTTGAGCAGAACTAATTTCAAAAGCACACTCACTAATGATGAATCCTGTCCAGTTCTGGTCTTCATGAAGAAGGGATAGCCCAGTCCTAAGGACCAAAAGACATATCTCTATACAGTGCTTGTGATTTCCAGGGAAAGCTGAGAAACTTGATTGAACAAGGTGATTTCTAACCCAGGCATTAGACAATCATGCGATGCTGGCATTTCCCATGTTCTCAGGGCTTTAAGTCATGTCAGATCTCACAGACAATGCCTTTAAAAAACAGATGCCTTGTGGACTCCAGACCTTCTGGAGCCATGAAGTTTGGATGAACCCCAGAAACTATGGCCCTGAGATAATCTGTAACCTTAAACCAAAAATATCCCCTGAAGTCTTCTTAAAGCCAAACAATACTTTAGCTTAACTAGTAAACAATGACTGCCTTGAGCATTATGCACTGTTAACAACTATCTATTTGGGATCAAATTGACAACAGCAACTTGAAAGATTAGATAGGAATTTTAGGGGGCAGTGAATTTATGTTAATAGAGGAGGAACAACTCAGAAAAGGAGGGTGAAAATGGTTGCACAACTCCAAGAATGTAATCAAGATCACTAAAGGGTACGTGTACAAACTGTTGAACTGATGTATGCTTTGTTTTGTATGTTTCAGCAACAACAACAAAATAAATAAAATTGTATAAAAAAGCAGATGCTTTGTCATAATTTCCTATATGTGTCCAGCTTATAAATATATATGAGCAATTGTGGGTTTTAAAAATATCAGATTTATCTTTTGAAGCTCTAGTTGTAGTTCCCAAGTAAGACAGAATGAGAAATAGAATTTTTTAAATGTACAAAAAAAAAGGAAAAATGATGATGATTGTTATGATGTTGATGATGATAGTGGTGATGATGAGATGATGATAGCAAATGTTCACTGAGAACTTTCTCTGAATGAAATCCTGACTTTAGAACTCAGTTTATATGTTTTGGAGGCAGAGAATTGTTAACATTTTGTCTTAATTTATTTTAAGCTTTGAACTGTGGAAATTTCTTCTGTTTAAAATATTTCTTTTTCTGAAGATAACGGTGACCCTACCAATAGGAGAGTGTGAGCATCAATAAAACAACGATAATATAAAGAATTATCATAGCTTTAATTTATTGTTTACTATGTATAAAGTGCATTATATTCTTTCTGGCTTTTAATTCTCAGAACAGTCTTATAAATTCAATGCTATCATTATTCTCGTTTTGCAAACTAGGCAACCGAGGGTCAGAGAGGTTACGATATCGCTCAAGATCAATTAGATAAAATTTGACTGAATCAGAATTCAAATCTAAGCCTATGCGACCCCAGAAGCATTTGCACTTTATAATTCCCATTCTACTTCCCCTTAATACACACAGTCAACGAGTTCAGTTCTTACGTTTCTTTCTTTTTTTGAAATTCTTCTCTCAAAATTCTTTGGTTTTCTTTTTTGAGCCAATTTGAAGGTGAACTTGTTTCTACAGACAGGTCAGGTTTGAAATGTGTGAGTCTCCAAAACCCCAACTAGTGACTAGTTGGTAATTTATAATTCATGCTATTTGATATTTTAACTGCACTAAAATAAGGATGTTTTTCAAATGGATTAGTGTGCTTTTCTAGAAAATTCCTAGATATGAAATTGTAGCAAGGTGGCAGGGAGATAGGCTATTTTTTAGTGAACCTCACCATGATTTGATATCTCTTAGGTGATTATGGAATTGGTTCAATTATACTTTTACCACCTAACAACAGAAATGAATGGGTGTAGACTTTAAGTCATCAGTTATATCTAGCTATTATTAGCCTATCAAACTGTGATAAAACGAAAGAAGTCAAAATGTATTTTGTCTGACGATTCTGTGAATGTTCAGTTATTTCTAGATATAGAAGTTTGGAGATGAAACAAGAACTATTTCCTGATGATCTCACAAATTTATTGGTTCTTGGAGACCAATTTTAAATATATAACCTGATAGTCAAGAAATTGCTTTTCAATTGTAGAACCAAACATCAAATTTACAAAAAAGACCAGACATAGTGGTCTGACAGAGACTGGAAAAATCCCTATACTATGGCCAGAAGACACCCTTGTGACCTAGAACTGAAGCCATTCCTAGAGACCACCTTTCAGCCAAACCATAGACAGGCCCATAAAATAAACAATAACACCCAAGAGGAACGTGCTCCTTAGAACAATCAATTATACGAATTCAAAAGGGCAACATGTGCCAAAAAGAAAAGGTGAGAAGGCAGGAAGGGGTAGAAAATCAGGGCAAAAGGAAATGGGGAAACTAGAACAGAAACGGGTAGAGTGTAGACACATTGTGGAGAATGGAATCAATGTCATGGAACACTTTATGTACGAACTATCCAATGGGAAACTAATTTTCTCTAAACTTTCACCCAATGCACCAAAAAAAAAAAAATTTTAAGAATTTGCTTTTCATATTAATTTCTAGTTTGTTTTTTCCTTAGTGTAAAAAGTGGACATGTTGCAGCATGGTGAACTGTAGATTAACTAGCAAACAAAGGAGAAATCTGTTATAAATTAAGGAGCTTACATTCTTGAATCTACTCAGCAGTAAAGGGTTACACTCTTGAAGGGCGAAGGCTACAAAACCATATGGTCATCCTTTATAAAATCTTGAGAAAGACAGGACAAACATGGACATAAGTTTCAGATTCCAGAACACTAGAATCCTTTCTAGTTTGAAAGAGAAACAGTTAGGGAAAATAATGTCATTTTGCATTACTGTTCAAAAATTTGAAATAGTCAACTCAAGGACAACATATATTTCAAACCTAATAAATATAGAAAATCAAAAGACGTCATTGAAAATCTTTTTATGGACAGTTAGGAAAGGGTTGACATCTACATTATAATACCGCCTAAAACAGGTTGTGTGTTTATATGTGCAGAAACTGGACTAAGAACTTCACAAAGACGGTCTCTTACTGTACCACTTTGAGATGTGTGATTTCACTATTGTTATTTTAAAGACAAGCATCAGAGAATTATAAATGTTCCATCATTTACTCAAGGTCACTGGTAAGCATGGAAAATAAGATTCAAATTCAGGATGATCCATATCCAGAGCCAGAGATCTTAATCTCTCTGCCATAGTATTTAAAAAAAAAAAAAAAAGAAAACTATTGTTGTAGAGTCAATTCTGACCCATAGCGACCCAATAGGACAGAGTAGAACCTACCATTGGGTTTCTAAGCAGCAGCTGGTGGATTTGAACTGCCAACCTTTTGGTTAGTAGCCATATCACTTAACCACTGCACCACCACCAGCCTCCTGCCATAGGTTAGCTGCTAAAAACCAAACCAGACATAAAATGATACTCGTGAAGAGTGTGCTTCTTAGCTCAAGTAAATACATGTGACTAAATGGGCAGCTTCTGTCTGGAGGTGAGATGAGAAGGCAGAGAGGGTTAGGAGCTGGTTGAATGGATATGGGA